CCCCAAAACCCCAAAACCCCAAAACCCCAAAACCCCAAAACCCCGTAGGAGAGGTGTTTATAGAATATTTAATTTAGCTTTTTGAGGTATGAACAATGGTTAATTTTGAATAGATAGTTTAAGCAAGGATGAGTTTAGTGTTTGATGAGAATGGAAGGCCATTTGTGATCCTTAGAGATCAAGATAAGAAGCAGAGAGTAAAGGGACTTGAAGCTCATAAGGTAAGGTTTGAATAATTGTGTAGGCGAATATTATCGCAGCAAGGACGGTCGCAAATCTTTTGAAGACCTCCCTTGGACCAAAGGGAATGGACAAAATGTTAGTCTCTCCTGATGGCGATGTTGTTGTTTCCAATGACGGAGCAACTATCATGGAGCAAATGGAGGTAAGCACAGTTCATCCTGATACAAATCTTATTTCCCACATAATTCGAATCTGTAAACTCGATACTTTAGGTGGAGCACCAGACTGCCAAGCTCTTGGTGGAGCTATCGAAGTCTCAGGACAATGAGATCGGAGATGGAACGACCGGAGTCGTCGTTCTTGCTGGAGCCTTGTTGGAGCAGGCACAAGCTTTGCTTGATAAAGGTATCCACCCTCTGAAGATAGCAGACGGATTTGAAAAAGCATGTGAAATGGCAGTAGACAGAGTTGAGAATATCGCAACTGAGTTAGATATTGAGGCTCATGAGCATGAAGAATTAATTAAATGCGCCATGACAGCTCTTGGATCTAAAGTAGTTAGCAAGCAAAAGAGGAAATTGGCTGAAATCGCTGTGAATGCTGTACTCAGTGTTGCTGATATGGAAAGAAGAGATGTCAATTTGGATCTCATCAAGCTTGTTGGAAAGACTGGAGGAAGTTTAGAAGACACTTCATTCATCGATGGTATTGTTATTGATAAAGAATTCTCCCACCCACAAATGGAGAAGGAAGTGAAGGATGCCAAAATCTGTATCTTGACTTGCCCATTCGAACCACCAAAGCTCAAGACTAAGCACAATCTTGAGATCAAGAATAAGGATGATTATGAAAAACTCTATGAGATTGAGCAGAAGTACTTCACTGATATGGTCAAAAGCGTAAAAGATAGCGGAGCCAATTTGGTTCTCTGTCAATGGGGATTTGATGATGAAGCTAATCATCTTTTGATGCACAACAAACTTCCATCAGTCAGATGGGTTGGAGGAGTCGAGATCGAACTCATTGCTATCGCAACTGGAGGAAGAATCATCCCAAGGTTCCAAGAGATCACCCCAGAGAAGCTTGGAAATGCTGGACATGTCAAGGAGGTTAACTTTGGAACCACTAACGAAAAGATGATTGTAATTGAAGAGTGCTCTAACTCTAAGGCTGTTACCATCTTGACCAGAGGTGGAAACAAGATGATTGTCGCTGAGGCTTTGAGATGTCTCCATGATGCCATCTGAGTAGTCAGGAATATGATCAAAAATCACAAAATCGTTCCAGGAGGTGGTGCTTCTGAGCTCTCAGCCTCTATTTATATCCAAGAGGAAGCAGACAAAATTGAGACTATTGAACAGTATTCCGTCAGAGGTTTTGCTGAAGCTTTGGAGGAGATCCCATTAGCTTTAGCTACCAACAGTGGATATGATGCAATGCAATATGTGAGTGACCTTAAGGAACAACAGGTCAAATCTGGAAATCCATACTATGGAGTTGATGCCATGAACACAGGAAACAACCAGATGATTGAGGAAGGAATTTACGAAAGCGTAATGTCTAAGAAGCAGCAACTTCAATTATCAACACAGGTCGTTAAAATGATCCTGAAGATCGATGATGTTATTGCTCCTTCTGAGTATGCATAATTGTTAACCTCGTATTAAAAATATAAGTACAATTTCAAATTTTGATTAAAAAAGGGGTTTTGGGGTTTTGGGGTTTTGGGGTTTTGGGGTTTTGGGGTTTTGGGG